AGAGACAGACAGACAGACATACAGACAGACAGAGAGAGACAGACAGAGAGAGAGAGTCTGCCAAGGGGAAGTAATGCTTACAGGGCTCGTAAGACGTTGCAGAGCGGATGAGGCCCTCGAGCTCTGCCCCTGAGAAGTTCTTTGACCGCGCGGCGATCTCTGGAATCAACACATCCTCATGTGAAGCAGCACATGTCTGAACAGCACTGGCGGCTACCCCTTTACAAGCACACTCATGGAGAGTCGCGTGGCATCAGCCAGGGCTAAAGCCACTTCAATCAAGGAGCTTGGTCCAAGTAGCCCTTGTCTCGCATGGATTTCGTGTGAATGTTCAGAATCTCAATGCGTCCATGCTCATCCGGAAGACTGATTTCCACGTGAACTTCCAGTCGCCCTGGCCGCAACAAGGCTTCGTCGATTAGGTCTTTTCTGTTCGTCATACCGATGAGTAAGATATTGTTCAACGAGTCCACGCCATCAATTTTGGACAGCAGCTGGTTCACAATGCTGTCATGTACTCCTGTGCCGTCGCGAGTTGAGCCCCGCGACTTGCAAATCGAGTCAATCTCATCGAAGATGACGACGTGTAAGGGTGAGTTCTCTCTGAGGGTCTTCTCATCTTTTTCGGCATCGGCGAAAAGATTCCGGATGTTCTCCTCTGCCTGGCCCACGTACTTGTTCAGAACCTCCGGTCCGTTTACGATCTTTGGCTCTGCTGCCTTTAGAAACTTGGCAAGCTTCCTGGCAATCAAGGTCTTACCTGTACCCGGCGGTCCGTAGAGTAACATCCCACGCACGTGGTTGATGCCTAGGTCGCGGACCATGTGAGGTGGGAAGATACGCGCAGCAAAAGCTCGTCTGAAAATGTCTCCGAACTGCTTGCTCAAGCCACCGATGCCCAGGTCTTCGAAATTGAAATCTGGTCTGAATATATTTCTCTGTTGCACTTTGTTGGAAAGCACATGGAGCTTACCAGACGGTCCCTGCTGAAAGTCCAACTCCGTGAGGGAGGCGAGCATCCCGGAACTCACTTTGTTCCTCGCCACGCCGTCCCCCAAATCCGGAGGCATCAAACTGCGCACATCGAACTTTAGAAGCTGGCCGTTGTAATCAACCGCGATCGTTTGACCAATGGCAACGACTTGAGACTCGAAACTCTTCCTGATCAAAGCATCCAGCTCCTCGTCTCTGATCTCTAACCTGGGAGTGTCGGGAGTAGGCTTCACGAAGAAGTCCACTTCCATCTTGCACGTGCCCAAATCGAAGCCCTTTGGAATCAGGAACTGCTTCACGAAAACCTCTTGATTCAGCCCAATCTTGGCAAACTCTCGCTGCACCTTGTTGAAGGCAATGGTCCCGGGTTCCATAAGCCTGTGTGCCTCGATGCTAAAAACACAGCTTTTTACCTCTACGTACCTGGCGCCAGCACCAGCACCACATAGCCTCTCCACATCCGTCTGGTTCGCATAGCACCGGTTCGTGAACGCTAAGGTCTCAGGGTGTCAGTGTACGTCCAACTGCACTGACTTTCTTTCACATACTAAACTGGATGACGTGATTCAAGGAGAGACACAGTACTGAGCACATGAATGGCACCTAGCCCTTAGCCCTGCACTGCACGGACGCCTGGCACTGCGTGCAAGACGAATTCGAAGCCCGTCCTTCTCGGGCAAGTTTGAAGGCTTCAAGCTCAGCCCAAATGACATGGCAAGGCTGCTGCTGCTTTACAGATCTGGAGAGCTGAGCAAGTCTTTGTCCAGATTCGGCTTTGTCAACAATCACTCGGCTTTCGTTCGGCTGTGCCAAGTCCTGCTTGCTACGCGGAATCAGCTCGAACCAAGATCAAGAAGGATTCAAGACTGGAGTACTCAAGGACTGAGCATTAAGACCGGCTCGTCCCTCCCATTTCTTGCAGTGCATCCGCCAATCCCCTGATGCCTCTCAATCCTCCTTCCAGTTGTGCCCACACTGAGTGCACCTTGGCAAACTCACCCGGGATCTTTCCTCGTCCGGGCAACTGAAAACCGGCCTGTAAAATGTCGTCATGGGCTCGTCTGCAGAACGAGTTTGCATTTGTCGGAAGTATGCTCTTGAATGAGCACACTTTGGACCTGGAGGTGCAGGTGACAAGGATGATGGCACATACCTACTGCAATGCTCAACGAGACTTAGGCTAGGCTGGCGACAATGTGCGTCGCACTGTTCGACATCTTTCCAAGCCTGCCGATTTCTTTCTTGTTGCAGTTTGCAACATCCTTGTGTACTGCTGCCGGGCACTGCCTCACTGCCACCCAGCACATCATCAACTTCTTTTCTGATGACCACCTGTTTGTTTGAAAGCTTCTCCTGCCAGTTCGCGCTCCAGGCAGGGTGATCCCTGAGTCAGGATGCCGGCAAATTTCTACCCTCGTAGAGCTCCCGAATCTTGTACACATACGGGCATGTCCTGAGCACGTAGACCTAATTAGAACAGATCCTTCTGGGGACAAGCTACCCATCACGTCCTGCACCGGAACGCAGCGCTGGAACCTCGCCCGATTTCGATCACCAGCAAGTTGGCACCTGTGCACCAAGCCACAAAAACTCCCAAAACACCGTACACACGGGCTGCTCGCATCCAGGTCACAAGTCGGGCAAAACTGCGCGGCCATCGCTGGATCGGGAAACACAGGCGTCCATTCAGTCCACAACCAGTCGGAGCCTATTACTATTTCGTAGGAGGCTTTGCATCAAATGACTCACCATGCACAACGAGTGCTTGCACAGACAACAAATTCAATAACAAATTCAATGCCGAGAACTTGAGCCGAGGCATAAGCAAACCAAAGCCAACTTGGCAGAAACCTCAAGACCGTTTTTCAACCTGCTGTGGTGCCTGCGCGCATCTCGCTTTCTTGCAGCACGCAGAGCTTTGATACAATCCTGCTGCTTCTTTGCAACGTGTGATCCCTCCCTACATGTCGGAGCATTGGGAAGCCGTGTTATCATTGATACGACAAAGGGAAACCGTTTCGTCGAAGAAACATCTCACGAAATGCTTGACCGACTTGCTGGCATCTTTCGAATCGGTGGCTGTCGGTTCTGACTCGACATAAGTCTTGCCACAATCTTCCTTGCTCAGACCGTTACAATGTCCAGCTGGCTTCAATTGACGCATGTGCGAGCACAGCTCCGTCTCGCAGCATGCATCGTCCGTTGTCCCAGACAAGGTGGAAGCCGCCGGCTTCAAAGTCAGACCCTTTCCACAGTTGTGCAAAGCGCAAGACTGCTCACAGCAGTCTTCATCTGACGAGCCAAGGACATCCTTCTGAGACGGGTTGGCCAGCCAGCCTGTGCCACACTCATGCAGCGAACAAGATTTGAGGCAGCATGTCTCTGTGCTGGTAGCAAGCAACTCCTTGGCATCAGCGTTCTTCTCCCAACCCTCCTGGCACTCGAAGGCTGCACATTTCTTTAGGCAACATCCTTCATCCGACGACTTGAAAAGATCGTTGCGAGTTGCATCTGTCACCCAGCCGTCGGAACAAACGTGCTGTCTGCAGGTGGGCTGGCAGCATTCACTTTCATCATTGGGCGCGGTGTGTTTCTTGTTTTCGGGGATGCCAAAATTCCTCGGGCAAGTCACGGTTTCACAAGTCTTCGCACAGCAATCCTCACGAGAGGCTCCAACTTGGTCGGCTTTGCTGCCATCCAAAACCCAGCCAGCACCACAGGTCATCATGGCACAGAGTGGCTCACAGCAAACTGCGTCGGAACTGCCAACCCATTGGGCTCTCTCCTCCAAAGGCTTCCAGAGAGCTCCGCAGCTGTGCAGGGAGCATGTCTTTGAGCAGCACTCATCGTCTGTGGAACCAACCTTGCCTTGACTCGCTGGGGTGACCCGGTATCCGTCCTGGCTGCAAGAATGGTCTTTACATGTGCGATCACAACAAACATCTGCGTTCCAACCCACGTTGTTGCGGTAGGCGGCGTTTGTCACATAACCATCTGGACATGCGAAGGACATACACGTCTGTTCGCAGCATTCTTCGTTGCTGCTTCCAATATGTTCACGCAAAGGCTGCCTTGGGACCCATCCATCTTCACATCGCCCTTGCCATTTGCAGCATGAATTGGGCGCTGCATTGGCACACTGCGTCTGTGACACATTGACCTGAATTGACACTTTCAAGGACCTTGTCCATGGCAAAGTGGCCAAAGCCACAAAAAACTTCATTGCGGAGGCCTGCACTCGATTTGGAGACCCAGATAGATGCTTAGCCGACACGTGGCGGCGAGCAGAACAGCATCCTGGCTGATTCCTGCGATCAAATAGAATCTAATAGAACTGCAAGGCCCTCCGCCTTCTTAAGAAGTGAGCAACACCTAAGCACCGGGGAACTGCCACAGTAAGAACGACGGTACGTGGCTGAGACCGTATACATCCAAAGCCCACATAACCCCCCCTCGGCGGCTCCGCTCCTTACAGCAAGCATGGAACAGGCTCTGGCTCTTTTTGCGACTGTCTTGGCACACGCATCCCAGCCATTTGACTGACACACGCACACAAACAAACACAATTACAAACACGAGCACAAGCACACTGTCCCTGTAATCAAGAGACACGTCTCGCGTAGTTCAGTCGACGCTGGCTCATCCAGGCTCTGGGTCTCAAGGAATTCTGTTGCTTGGTGATGGGTACAAGATCTCGGCATCCTTATGCCTTCTGAGGCCACTGAGATGCAACGCATACCCCAAGCGCTTCTGCCTCGCTTGCGGGCCCAGCTCAAGAATCGATTTCGCCTCTGTAAACATAGAGACATTCTTGAAAGAATTGAATGACACTGGCATCTCAACTACCCAAGTGCGAATATATTCAAAGCATGGCAAATACAAGTGGCCTCGGCCCATCCAGAAGTTCCAGGCTTCATTCCCACTTTCATTGCCAGGAAACAAACGTTGCTGCACCGGCTGGTGCATGGGAAGGCCGAGCATTGGTCTTATACTGAACCATTCTCTGCCAAACGCGTCCGTGGTCAGTGCGCTTGGCAACACTCCAAGCTGTCGCAAGCATGCAGCTAGCATCAGGTCCTCACGATGGCCAACAGCAAACACGCAATCCTGGAAAGTGGGACGGCCATCTATAAACGGTGCCTCCACTAGCAAGCTCGACAAGTCAGTCAATGCCCGGCGAGACAAGCACACTCCAGGACCTCCATCGTTGTACACAAATCCGAACCGCGGGACATCATTGAACTGCCTCGTCCCAAGGTAGTGGGGCTCCGCAGCATCCAAACGTTCCGACACCACAAAATATCGAAAGTTTTCTGGGATGAAGAAGGTGTCGCGTTCCAAACGGCAGTACCACCACTGCTCCCCTTTCTCGCCCATGAGGTCGCTGTGCTCGTCGCCGTGCTCGGCTTCCCATCGTAGCATGTGCAAGAGTTTAATGATGGTGTTGAAGTTGTCGTGCTGGGGGGCTTGACCGGTCCGTCGATGGAATGTCTCCTCGTCGAGTGGCACATCGGGATACCAAGCATGCAGATTTATCAATGAATACTGCATGGCCGCGGGCACTTCTAATGTCTGCGTGCTTGAAACGAAAAAGCGCAGGACGTCGCAGTCCGAACCATATGTTTCCGAGATTGCCTCGAGGAATGCTTCTTGCGCCGGCCAAACCACTGGCACCAGGCAACTCACTTTGGGAAGCGAGCCCATGCGAACGAAGTGTTTTCCGTCCCAGAATGGGCGACCTGCATTCAACACTTCTTGATTCCATGCTCTAACATCAGAGTCGATTTGATCCGGGTTGGAACCACTGGTTCTGAAACGCTGCTTTATAGAACATGCAGCGCTGCCCACCGCAAAGTTTGTGTTGTGCCAGTGCAGCAAAACCTTTTGCAATACATCGGCATGTGCAGTAAACACATCATGTGCCGAAATCTTGGCGAGTCGGCTCCAGCTAGAACTGTCAAAGCACCGCGGACCCCCACTGCCAGCGATCTGTTGCAAAGCAAAATCATACAGAATTAATGCAGCTGCCCAGCTGACGTGGCGAACACGTCCAGCACACCAGGCGGCGTTCACCGATAACACGACTGGGGATGTCAAGCCATTAGCAAAAGCCGCATGGTACCGTCCGACAGCATCGGCCGTCACTGCACATTGTCGGACATCGAAAGACGATACGAACGCATCGAATTCTTGTGGAAAAATATCTGGCCATACATTGCAGCTGATTGTATCGAGGGCCATGGCCGGCTCGTCATCCAGAGGCTCAGAGGTCACGTGCCAAGCTTGATTCACGGCTAACTTGCAGCGCTTCACCACTACAGCCCGAAATAATTGCAGGCCTTTCGTTTGGGCACCACATGGGTGTGCAAAGAATTTCCGTCGGCGCTATGTTCGTCCCCGCAAAAATTCATTTATTAGGCTGATGGGCAACCATAATCAACACCACGCTGTGCAAACTACTGGCCATTTTTGTGGATGGCATGCTTCTTGCTGAGCACGAACCAAAGCATTACAATAGCAGACGCATTTTACTGACCTTTCGCCAGCACCTCGTGCTCTGCTGCTCTCCCAAGCCGGCCCACATTCCGGCCATGTGTTTACGGTCCTCCCCACCTCCGACGATGTCACTATCGCCAGCGCACAGTTCCGGGTTCTGTTGCTTCGTCGGCTGCGTCTTCCCCTGGCGCTCTGCCCCCGCACATGCCGCTGCGGCCGAAGCCTCGACCCTTTGGGGGGCCACCGAGCCGCCTGTGCCACCTCCGGTGTCCTTCCGACTCGGGCACTACCGCTCGAGCACGCACTCGCCCGCGTCTGCCGCGAAGCCGGCGCTCGAGTCGCGCGCAATGTTCCTGTGCCTGTCAGCGACGCCAGGAGGATTGAGGTCGTGTGCAATGGCCTGCCCCTCTTGCACGGAGCTCAGCTCGCCGTTGATGCGACACCCGTCTCCCCACTCACGCGCGACGGCTCGCCACAGCCCGCAGCCGATGCGCAAGCGGGAGTTTCGCTCGCCTGCGCGGCACAGCGCAAGCGGCGGCAC